GGGACCCCCTATGGATCCCTTAGGGACCTCATGGGGACCTGGGGACACCCATAGGGAGCCCTTGGGGACCTGGGGACACCCATGGGGACCTGGGGACCCCTTGGGGACACAGAGACCCTATGGGGAGGCCTTGGGGACCCCATATGGATCCTTTGGGGACATGGGGACCTGAGGACACCCATAGAGACCCCTTGGGGACACGGGGACACCCATGGGAACCTGGGGACCCCCTTGGTGACACTTGGGAACACCCATGGGGACATGAGGACACCCATAGGGACCCCTTGGGGACTCCTTCGGGACCCCCTAGGGAGCCCTTGGGGACACGAGGCACCCATGGGGACCTGGGGACACTTTGGGGACCCCCCTGGTGACACTTGGGGACCCCTTGGGGACACTTGGGGACCTGGAGACCCTATGGGGAGCCCTTGGTGACACCTTGGGGACCCCTTGGGGACCTAGGGACACCCATAGGGAGCCTGTGGTGACCTGGGGACCCCCTTGGTGACACCTGGGGACCCCCTGGTGACACTTGGGGACCCCTTGGGGACATGGGGACCCTTTGGGGACCCCCTGGAGACACCTTGGAGACCTGTGGGGACCTGGGGACCGTGYTGGGGACACCTTGGGGACCCCTTGGGGACCTGGGGACACCCATAGGGAGCCTGTGGTGACCTGGGGACCCCCTTGGGGACCTGGGGACCCCCTGGGGACACCGGGGGACCCCTTGGTGACACTTGGGGACCCCCTGGGGACCCGTGGGGGTCTCACCGGCCCCGTGAGCGGCGCCCCCAGCAGCTGGAAGTTGCCCAGGAGCCGCTGGTGGCCCTCGGGGACGTCGCCGCGGCGCAGGAGGTGGCACAGGGTGTCCTCGCTGAGACCTGTGCCACCCATCACGCGTGTCACCCGTCACTGTGTCACCCATCACCTGTGCCACCCATCACCCGTGTCACCCATGTCACCTGTGTAACCCATCACCCGTGTCACCCGTTTCACCCATGTCACCCATCACCCATGTCACCTATCACCCGTGTCACCCATCACCCGTGTCACCTGTGTCACCCATCACCTGTGCCACCCATCACCCATGTCACCTGTGTCACTTGTGTAACCCGTCACCCGTGTCACCCGTCACCTGTGTCACCTATGTCACCTGTCACCTGTGTCACCCATCACCCATGTCACCCATGTCACCCATCAC